GTTAGTAGTAGTTAGTAGTTAGTTAGTTAGTTAGTTAGTAGTTAGTTAGTTAGTTAGTTAGTTAGTTAGTTAGTTAGTAGTTAGTTAGTTAGTTAGTAGTTAGTTAGTTAGTTTAGTTAGTAGAGTAGTTAGTTAGTTAGTTAGTTAGTAGTTAGTTAGTTAGTTAGTTAGTTAGTTAGTTAGTTAGTGTTAGTTAGTTAGTTAGTTAGTTAGTTAGTTAGTTAGTTAGTTAGTTAGTTAGTTAGTTAGTTAGTTAGTTAGTTAGTTAGTTAGTTAGTTAGTTAGTAGTTAGTTAGTTAGTTAGTTAGTTAGTTAGTTAGTTAGTTAGTTAGTTAGTTTTAGTTAGTTAGTTAGTTAGTTAGTTAGTTAGTTAGTAGTTAGTTAGTTAGTTAGGTTAGTTAGTTAGTTTCGTAGTGTAGTTAGGGTTGTTGTTAGTTAGTAGTTGTTAGTTAGTAGTCGTGTTAGTTCGTTGTTGTTCGTTTCGTTAGTTATCGTTCGTTAGTTGTCGTTATTAGTTCTTAGTAGTAGTTTCGTTAGTTAGTTCGTTGTTAGTTGTTCGTTCGTTAGTTAGTTCGTTTCTTAGTTGTTCGTTGTTAGTTAGTTCGTTTTCGTTGTTCGTTGTTCGTATCGTTCGTTTTCTTTCGTTGTCGTTGCGTTTCGTTAGTTTTGTTAGTTAGTTAGTTGTTGTTGTTAGTTCGTTTTTTTTTGTTCTTTTCTTGTTGTATTTTTGTTTTGTTAGTTATTGCGCCTAGTTCAGGCACATACTCCTTCATACTAATAGCCCATAACACCTCCAACTCAACAACGGCATTCCAAGATTTTAATTATTCAAGAGTTCTTCAAATAACTTAAAGTAGTCCTGGATCATATTACCAAACTCAAGTAAAATGTATTCGACATTTTAGCATTGACCTTGAAAAGCAGTTTTGGTAATGATAATTTAGTTTCATATTTCATTTTAGCAATTGCAAGTTGTAAGCTGCTTTTGGCCCAGTAACCGAGAGAAAGTTGTTTTACGCAGAAATTATAAAAACAAATAAAAACTTAAACTTTAAAAAATATGAAAAAAGAAGCTTGTAAAATAATAATTATCAAGGCCAAGGGAAACAATATTTATATGTTCAACCATGTTCATAAGCAACACCACCAGTAGTCCATATTATGTTTACGATCATTGATAAAAAACATCGTTACTATTGCATGTTAGAACAAAAACAAAGAGTTTTACTGGCAAACAAGAAATCTTTGATGGATGTAACCATTTGGCTGTTGTCAGTCAATTTCAGTTTCAGCTGATGATTGGTTGGCTGGTTAATTGTTTAGTTGAGTTAATTTGTTGCTTGAGATGACATTTTAAGTTGCCGCAGTTAAAAGTACACAAATTATTAAATTAAGTCATTTTATATACTCTTCTTAAACTTTGAAGTTATAGTTAACAAATGGGATTTGTTGTTGCAAAGTTAGCATGTTGCAACCGTTTACACGTTAGGTATGAAACACATGGTAATTACTGAAAAATATTGGTTTCAATATGAATAATTATTATTTATATTTTACACCAACAGCATTGACATCCTTGTGAACATTTAGAAAAAAGTGGCCGGAGGGAAAAAATACGTTTTAAAATTATACACGCTTAGTACCAAATTGACACCTAATCGTTTATAATTGTTCAATAACATGCGTTGTCAAAGTATATACGGATAGTATAGTGACAGAACCCTGTGTTATCGAAATGACAACGATGCGTTGCCGAAATGACAAAAAATGACAACAATGCGTTGTTAAAATTACAACATTTGTTGTCAAACTGATAATTGGGTGTGTATCAATTTATGTGCTTTTCTATTGGTTTTCCCACTGTGTAGATCATATTTTTCTGATCTCCTAGTGAATTTTTAAGGGGATTTCCCTTTTCTAAAGCTCATATATTTCTCATATTTTAAGCATATCCATTCTTTTAATGATGTTAAACCCCAAAGCTCATTATGAACATGTTTTTAAAAAAGCTATTCATTATCTTTTATTAACTTTATACTTATAAAAGTTATAAATAATTGTACTACATTAATTTGAGTGACGGTTTTTATTTTTATATTTTCGATATGGCCAATAAGCATTTAGGACACAATGATACTACCAAATACGCAGTGCATGCACAGACAGACAGTAACGTGATTTAAACATGTTGTTAACAAATTATATTTATCTAGGCTTTGTTTTGTGTTAATACAACAAAAATATATATTTGATTACCTGTAAAAACCCCATAAATAATTTCAAAGTATGGAATTGGTTATAGGTAGAGGAATTTTATTTAACACCTAAATTGTCTGTTTTATTATTTAGTTTTTAATTGGTAATATTTACAAAATGCTCCTTTAAAACGTAATATGGATTTGAATTTTAAGATTCTAGCTTCCCAGACATACGATTTTTCTGATGTAACAGACTTTATATAGGTCTATAGGTAGAGTATCAGACATGTCCAAGAATTTTTATACCCACTATCAAAAAAGATGGGTGGTATGTTGATTTTGTCATTCCGTTTGTAACACATCGAAATATTAGTCATAGACCCACAAAAGTATATATGTATATTCTGGGTCCTTATTGAATTCTAAGACGATCTAGCCATGTCTGCCCGTCTGTCCGTCCGTCTGTCTGTCTGTTGAAAGCACGATAGAGTCCGAACGGAACGAGCTAGAGAATTGAAATTTTCCACAAATATTTTCTATAGGTAAGGTTTGTTTGGTATTGAAAATAGGAAATATCGGTCCACGTTTTCGGATAGCCCCCATACAAGTGGACCCCCGAAAAACAACTTTAACGGGCACATCTGTTTTAAAAGTACGAGTATAGCAATGAAATTCGACATAAATAAGTTTCATATGATCCAAAATCTCCCTAGCAAATTTTATGAGGATCGGTCCATAATTGACCCTACCCTCCATATAAGGCCACCTTCAGAAAATGACTTAAACGCTCATTATTGGCTTAAAAATACGAGTATAGTGATGAAATTTGACATACGTAAGTTTCAATGACGTCAAAATCTCTCTATCAAGTTTTATGTGGATCGGTCCATAGTTGACCCCCTTCTCCCATTAAAAAAAATTGACATAAATAAGTCACTTATGATCCAAAACCTCTTTACCAAATTTTATATTGATCGGTCCATAATTAATCCCACCCCTCATATAAGGTCCGCTTCAGAAAATGACTTTACCGCTCATTACTGGCTTAAAAGTACGAGTATAGTGATGAAATTCGACACATATAACGTTCAATGAAGCCATGTGGATCGGTCCATAATTGACCCTAGTCCCCAAAAAATTACTTAAACGATCATTACTGGCTTAAAAATATGAGTAAAGCGATGAAATTCGACCCAAGTAAGTTCCTTGCGAACCAAAATTTGTGTGGATCGGTCCATAATTGACCTTACTCCCCTATAAAATCCCCTTCAGATAATTAATTTAATGCTCATTACTTAAAAGTACGAGTATAGAGATAAAATTCTACATTAGTAAGTTTCTTACGAGCCAGAACCTCACTACTGACTTTTATGAGAATCTGCATATGATTGACCCCCATATAAGCTCTCATTCAGAAAATGACTTTAAAGCTAATTACTGGCTTAAGAATACCAGAAAAGCGACACACATATGTTTTATACGAGTTAAAATCTCTCTACCAAGTTTATTGTGGATCAGTCCATAAGAAAATTACTGTAACGACAATTGCTGACTTAAAAATACGTGAACAGTTATGAAATTATATATAAGAAACATTTATAGGAACGTAAATGTTCCTACCGAATTTCATGCGGAAAGTTTCGGAAAGTGATATTCAATGTAAAGATGTTTTATATGAACCAAAATTGGTCAGAAAAATTTTATGAAAAACGGTCCATAATTAATCTTATCTTTCATATAAGGTCCTCTTCAGTTAATTTGATGAGTAATATCACCCTGATGTTTATAGGGGAGCATACGGCATACGATTTGATGGTGGGTATATGAGATTCGGCACGGCCGAATATAATACTCTCACTTGTTTATAATTATTATTTTTTTTTTACTACAAAAAACTTAAACTTGACTATGTAACTCTAAACCCGATTACTTCATTATTTAACAACTCTACATAATTTTTTAAAGTGGTAAAACTTAATAATTCTGATGATGTTAGCAAAAAACAATTTAATAAATTTGCACTTCTTTAAAGACATTTCCATTCAAAATGCTGACCTCAAAAATACGCCAAACGTCTTGAACTTTTCACAACAAACAAAACAATTTTTTTAGTCCAAAACAGTTGAATACTAAAACTGTTTGGAATAGAATATGGTCTATATAATGCGGATATAAGAAATTACTTAAAAAAATTAACGACAAATTTTAATAAAAATAAAGTGGCGTGTTGATAATAGACAAATCGAAAACTAATATTATATTGGAAAAACACAAAATTCTTAAGAAAAATCAATGAAACGTTAAGAAAATTCATTTAGTGTTATCATCATGGTGAAAATGAAAAATTTATTACAAAATCAAAATAATACAAAATTATTTTTAAATAATAAGCAAATATATATAGAAAATTTTATACAAACAGATCAATTGAAATGTCCTGCTTGTGATAAAAGTTTTATATTATTAACAAATATAACAGTTTCAAAAAATTCTATAAATTTAATTGAAAATGGTAGGTTATCTAATCACTTCGTCGAAAAACAATTATAATTTTTGTCATATTAACAAAATATCTTAGTCTGTCTATCAACAGATTTTTTTGATAGTCATGAATCTTTCAACTCCAGTACGTGATCAATTTCAATGTCAGCTATAGACCAAAAGTTCTAAGAAAGCTTTAACTGGTATTTTAAAGAAAAAATTAAAACTTAATTGTTAGTTTTACAAAAATTTTTAATTTTTTTCTTTAATTTTTTAATGTGAATGGTTTTTAATTTGTTAACTTTCCTCATTTCTTTACAGATAAACTAGCTGTGATAATTATTGGTATAATTACATTAATTTTAGGAATACTTTTAACCACCATACCGTGGCTGGATTATTTTATATTAAAGGTTAGTATGAAATAAAAAAACAACTATTATATTCGGTTTTATATAGACCTATACCCAGTGTGATTCGGTACCCTGAATACAATATTCTAGATCTAATGGTTTCCCAGATATTCCAAGCCCTCTATGAAAATTTCGCCCATTTTCCTGCCAATTGTTCACATGAATGTTAAAGTACTTTGTGCAAAATTTGAGGTTTCCAGCTTTAGTAGTTTCCCAGATAAATTAATTTTTGTATTTAATTCATATGGGAGGTACCACGCCCCCTATTGCTAGTCCGTCAATTTATTACCCAAATATTTACAAGGATGTCAGAATTGTTTTTGCAAAATTTAAGGATTTTAGCTCTAATAATTTCTCAGTTATAAGTATTTTTATCTTTAAATATGAGAGGTTCCAAGCCCCCTAATAAAAGTTCGCCGATTTTTCCCCCAAATGTTCACATGAATGTTAAACTCCTTTATGCAAAATTTGAAGATTCTAGCTCTGACAGATTTTAATTAATTTGTACTTAATTCATATGGATAAGATGCCACGCCTCCTAATGCTAGTCCAGGCATTTTGTTTTATTATATATTAATGTTGAAACTAAAGTGGCTACAAAATGTTGAGGCCTCTAGCTGTTTTCATTTCTCAGATATACTAATTTAATATTTTCTTTATATGGAAGGTGCCACGCCCACTAAATCCAGTCCGCCACTTTTGACCCCAAATGTTCATTTTTAATAAAATATTTGAGGACACTAGCTAGAGCAGTTTCTGAGATATGCGACTTTTAATACTTCCAATAAACCCACAAAGAAATAATCATACATTAATTTTCATAGATATAGATAATGAATCCAACCATTCGGAATTGTTCACTATTATATACCTATATTAATAAGAGTATCAGGGTGCTTTTAGCAATTTTATATTCCCACCATTAAGAGAATTTCGGAAGGGCGATCCTATATTTAGACTATAATGACACGATCCTTTTAGTAAATGGCTTTTAATGGGGCTTAGATTAATTATGGGTCAAACTCTACCGAATTTTACATACCTAACAGTGAAACCGCTTTATTTTAAGTAAATTTCGGACGGGCTCTGCCGAATCTTATATTCCCACCATTGAAACCCACCATTTAAATGAATTTAGAAAGGGTGGCCCAGTATTTATATCGTAATGAATCGATACTTTCATTAGAATGCATTTTATGGAGCTTGGAAGAATCAGCTATGACGAATCTTATATTCCCACCTTAAAAAAACAAAATTTAAAGTGAACTTCGGAAGGATGACTCTATATATAGACCGATCCTTTCAGAATTTTTCAACATCATATATCGATATTAATAAGAGTATTAGGTTGATTTTCGTAAGAGTGATTTTTCACCGATATTATATAGAGTAGCGATATTAATAAGAGTATCTGGGTGTTTTTAGCAATTTTATATTCCTACCATCAAAATCCACTATTTTAAGTGAATTTCGGAAGGGCGACCCTATATTTAGACTATAATGACAATATCCATTTAGTAGATGGCCTTTAATCGGGGCTTAGGTTAGTTACGGGTCAAACTGCACCGAATTTTACATACCTACCAGTGAAACCCTCCATTTGAAGTGAATTTCGGAAGGGTGACTCTATATACATAGCATAATGAATCAATCCTTTCAGTAGAGGGTCCATATGTTGCAGAAAGATGACAATCCATATGTTGCAGAAAGATGACAATGGCCAATACTTTGTGCGGGTATATTCAGGATTTACCTTGTTCATACCAGATTTATCACAGTGTGTTCTCTGTGAGTAAGAACTAGTCCTCGAAATTAGGCCTTCAAGGCAGGTGTTCACATAACACTTCGACATCTTGTACAAATAATAAGTTAATAATTTGAAAAATCCCTTTCTAATTTTTTAAGATCTGTACATTTCTGTGGAGTTAAATGCTCTCTCTAGATCAGAACTTCAAAGTTTAACCAACCCTTTCTTTCTTATTTCAGAATTTAAGGCTGTGGAATGATACATTAAGTTATCACTATTGGCAGAGACCCGGTGTGATACGTTTAACTAAAGTCTACATATATAATGTCACAAATCCTGATGGTTTTTTACAGGGTGAAAAACCAAAATTACAAGAGGTGGGACCTTTTGTTTACAGGTAATTTAAGATTTAAAAAAATTAACCAAAATAAACATTATTATTAATTCTAACATTTAAGTTTAATGGTCATTTCGTTACGCTAATTAAATTTTACAATTTAAATAGAAATAATTAAAAATAAATAATGAATAATTAAAGTTCTAAAGTTTAGGTTTTTTTTAATTCAATCCAAAAATGAATTGCCTTTTATTTAACGAAAAAAATATAAATGATGTCACCTGTTAATGGACTCACTTTAATTAAGATAAAATAATAACAATCATAAAAAATCATTTATCTATTTATTAATAAAATATAAACATTTTAATAGCAACTTAAATGTTTAATAATTATTTTAAATAAATAATATGTTAACGGTAATTATTAAGAAAACAATTATATTTAAATGCCAGTTTGTTTATTAAATTTATCGTTTAATTAAAAATTTAACTCTGGAAAAATCTTAAGATTTATATTTTAATTTCTATAATTATTTAAAATTTTTATTAAATTCTTTGCTTAATATTTGTTAATTTAAAACTAAAATTATACCTTAACTTTTGCTGTTTTTCCATTTATATTCAATTTTAACACTCTATTAACTTGAAATTAACCAACGTAGAAATTGGGCCAATTACTGGCTCTTACAACAACCACAATAAATTAACAGCTTTAACAAAAGTTTTACAAAATTTTCTATTGCTATCGATTACTTTTGTAACTACTTACTATTCACCAGGTGGCCAACTTAAGGCACCTGAAGAAGAGCTGTTTACATTATAAAGGGGCATACTTTAACACGGATTAAATATTCAGAATTTGATATATTGGTCATAGACCCACAAAAGTATATATATTCTGGGTCCTCATTAAATTCTAAGACGATCTAGCCATGTCTGTCCGTCCGTCTGTCTGTTGAAAGCACGATAGAGTCCGAATGGAAAGAGCTAGAGGGTTGAAATTTCACATAAATATTTCTCATAGGTAAGGTTTGTTTGGTATTGAAAATGGACAATATCGGTCCACGTTTTCGGATAGCTTCCATACAAGTGGCCCCACGAAAAGCAGCTTTAACAGCCATAACTTGTTTAAAAATACGAAATTCGACATAAGTAAGTTTCTTGTGATCCAAAATCACAAAATTTTATGAGGATCGGTCCATAATTGACCCTACCCCCCATATAAGGTCCCCTTCAGAAAATGACTTTAACGCTCATTACTGGCTTAAAAATACTAGTATATAGATGAAATTCGACATAAGTAACTTTCATACGAGTCAAAATCTATCTAAAAAATTTTATGAGGATCGGTCCATGATTGACCCTACCCCCCATATAAGGTCCCCTTCAGAAAATGACTGCAACGCTCATTAATGGCTTAAAAATACGAGTGTAGCGATGAAATTGGGCACAAATAAATTTAATACGAACCAAATTTTGTCTACCAAATTTTATGAGGATCGACCCATAATTGACCCTACCCCCTATATAAGGTCCTCTTCGGAAAATTACTTTAACGCTTATAACTGGCCTAAAAACACGAGTATACAGATGAAATTCGACATAAGTAAGTTTCATTCGAGTCAAACGAGGTTTGATGGTGGGTATATAAGATTCGGCATAACCGAATATAACACTCTTACTTGTTTCTACTATTTTCGAGTTTTTGACTTTTTCCGACTTTTTTCGACTTTTCGTCTTTTTTTTTCGACTTTCTTCGACTTTTTCGACTTTTATCGACTTTGCGACTTTTTTCATAGACGATAGTCGAGTTATCGACTTTTTTGGAACAAAATAGTCGACTTCGTCGATTATCCGAAAGTCGATTTATAGAACCCTAGTACAAGTATGAATTCATGCGGAAGAAGTGCTAAAAGGCTCTTAGCCTTTTACTTGTTGTCAACGAACGCAGCAGGTTTATAATATGTACATCAGATCTAAAAATATTACACCTTGGCCACTATCGGGCCTGTTATGAAAACCATTATATCTATATAAATAATTATCGTCCATTGTTCAGAAACTCTGAATATTTTATTCAGTGTTTTTGACTGGTCGAATATTTGGAATAACAAGATCTTTGGATCTTATTACGACGAAAGTTTGGCAATGACAGAGAAAGTATTTCAACGTTTCACTGCCCTATTAGTTCCACATACATACGCCTGTAACCGTTCGTCCAATTTTGTATAGTTGTGTCCTTACTAACCTCGTACTTATTCATTCTGAGGAGACTTCTCGTTGTGTTTTCGTGTGGATTACCATTTAAGATTTTAGTGCAACAATTCCGTTATTTCAAGTGGCCGTATGGCATTCTCTCACCCATGGATACTTATTTAAGCAGTATCATTTTGTGGATCCCAGACAACTGAAGTATACTTTAAAAATGGTCTCACAAGTAAAGTGAGCAATTGCCTTGGGATATATACATAGATCTTTAAATTCGTTTCCCCAGCGTTTTATGAGTCCTAAAACGCCTTTGGCTTAATTAATAGTTTATTAAATGTGCGAATTGAAATTTGTTGTCGATTAGTATGTCTAGATCAAGAAACCCATCAACCTTATCTAGTTGAGTACTTTGTGACTTCGTCTGTTGTTTATATTTTCTCAAATTTTGTATCATTAAATTCTCGTTACATTATTGACCAAAATTGTTTAGATCTGATCGGAGTAAGGAACTACGATTGGACTGGTTCAAATTAAGAAAGAGTTTGACTTCGTCGGCACTCATTAATACTCAAAAATTCTCGATGCAAGATCATAAATCGTTAATGAATATTAAGAATAATGCTGTACCCAAATGACTACCTTGCGGTACCCTGGATATAACGATGTATATATCATCTAAACAATAGAAATCAAAACCAATTTTTAACATATGAGGGAATCCAATTGGGGTTTATATGTATGTAGGTATGTGTAAGTCCAAATTTGTTTTATATGAAAGCAGAAGATGCTTTATGATGCTTTACTGAAACCTATATAAATAGTTTCAGTTTGAAAATCGGAATAAATAGAAGTTATAACTTCGATAACATTATATATATATATATATATATATGGTAGTTCAACGTCCTTTTCTAAAACCGTTCTGAAATTTTGACAAAAATTTTAGGAAAAACACTCAATTTGGTAATACCTCTACAATTTGAAATGTTGGATTTGCTTTCAAATTTGAACAAAAAATGTTTTTCCAAAAATCGGGAAAATACCCATTGGAATAGAAGTATTAAAAAGATATTTTAGTGCGAAATAAGAGGATATATACAGTTTAGAAGAACACAATTTGGTACACCATCAGACCCATATATATACGAAGATTTTAAATTTCATTAATAGCTTCAATAACATATAGCATAAAGTTTACCACTAGAAGAGTATTAGGGCATGACTCTCTTTCAGCCATAAAAGAAGTCGTACATGTTCGACACTACATATTAGGTCCTTCTTGGACAGTAAATTTGAAAATGAAATCATGAAAAATCTCGAGATTCCGAAACATTCCGATATTTTAGTTCTTAAAATCCTGTTGTAGATACTTGAGATAATAAAATATCTCGATATAGCTCTATATTTTTATTGATAATCTATAGTTTAAATTTCTATGCAATTTCCGGAAAGTTTAAAACAGTTTCGTGTTAAATCATTAAACGTATTTAGTTCACTTTGCTTTAATGTTTTGTCTACTCGGATAAAGTTCGCATTAAAAATGCTTAATGTAAATATACTTAATAGAAAAAACAAGTAAGAAATTATAGTCGGGCGTGGCCGACCATATGATACCCTACACCAGTTATGAATATTAAATGTGATTTATTTTTCATAATAAAGCATTTATCTTCAATATTCCCTTGTTCCGATACATTTAAGCAATTTATGGATGAAAAACTAATTTTCTGAAAGAGGCTTTATATGGGGGCTAGGGGCAAATATGGACCAAGCCCGATAAAATTTTGTGAATATATTTATATTGACATAATATTTTATTGTGCTGAATTTCATCGCGATATTTGTGTTTATATGCTAATTTGGGACATTCAAGTAATTTTCTGAAGGGGACTTTGTATGGGAGCTAGGGTCAAATGTGGCCCGATCTTTATGGCAGGGTCATCAAGACTTCTATAAAACTTAGTTGTGCCGTATTTTATCGATATATCTGTATATTTAACATAATTATGAGCTCAGAAGCCCTTTTCGGGGGGTTCTGTTGTATGGGGGCTAGGTGAAATAATGGACCGATTTTAACCATTTTCAATAGGCTTCGTCCTTAGGTCAAATAAAACGTGCGTGCCAAATTTCATCCAATTATCTTGAAAATTGCGACCTGTACCTTGCGCACAAGGTTTACATGGACAGCCAGCCAGCCAGACGGACGGACGGACGGACGGACGGACATAGCTTAATCGACTCAGAAAACGATTCTAAGCCGATTGGTATACTTTAAGGTGGGTCTAGGACGAATATTTTTGTATGTTACAAACATCAGCACAAATCCAATATACCCTCCCCACTAAAGTGGTGTAGGGTATAATTATCTAATTTCCGTTTATTTTGCGTATGTATGTGTGTATTTTAATATTTCCAAGTTGAAATTTAATTCATACAAATATCTTAAGCTAATTTTATTGTTAACTAAATTTAATATAATATTTTATTATTAATTGCAACATTAATTTTCAATAAATGAAACGTTTCAAACAAATATAAAGTTAATAATCAGAATTATGAAATAAACAACGCATAAGCAAGTGATTGTAATTTAATGGAGAATAATGAAAAATAACTTAATTCTAGAGTTAAAACATCGTTTATCATAAATGTGATGTTTAATCAAGGTGTTTAGCTTAAAAAAAAAAAATCTATGAAATATCGATAAAAATAATTTCATTGTAGTTAATTTAACCAATTTACTATTAATAATTGATATAATTATATGCTTTAATGAAGGATTTGCCTTCATGTCAGATTATTTGTCAGTATCCAATCATAAACTTGAAATATTTTCATATTTTAAAATGAAAATATTTTGATGTAACTTAAATATTTATTATAGTTAATAAATATTATTAATGCTAATGCTTTCTTCCTCCGCTTTAGAAAAACTTTTCAAATTTTTCCATAACTTAATAAATAAAACTTAAATTAAGACATCAATAGACAACACATGCAAATTATATACATTGTAACAATTTGTTTATCATAAAATATTTAAATAAATTTAAATACTTAATTATTTTAATTAACACTTAAAACACTTTGTTTATTCATAGATATGAAACTTGAAACGGAAGTTATCAATCATTAGATCTTAAGTTGTACAAGTTTCCTTAAATAAATGAAAATAAATCGGATTTTTTGTATATAAGGGTGCTTATGATGACCAGACAACTTTATTAATATAATTGCAGTGGAAGTTCATATAAATAGTATAGAATTTTTTAAGATTGAAACTGCATTTCTGTATTACAATGTAATTTTTATTCTAACTTATTGTAATATAATAGATCAGAAACTCTCACAAGGATCGATATTGAAAACTCGGATCACTGTACCATTTCCGCATCCTTTTCACCCTCCAGACTTCTTAACGATGATATGTGTCGTTAATAACTTCTTTCGATTTATAGACTATAGACTGGACTATATAATATACCATAGACTTTAAAATAACCGACTAGACTATAGACTAGACTATAGACTAGACTATAGACTAGACTATAGACTAGACTATAGACTAGACTATAGACTAGACTATAGACTAGACTAGACTATAGACTAGACTATAGACTAGACTATAGACTAGACTATAGACTAGACTATAGACTAGACTATAGACTAGACTATAGACTAGACTATAGACTAGACTATAGACTAGACTATAGACTAGACTATAGACTAGACTATAGACTAGACTATAGACTAGACTATAGACTAGACTATAGACTAGACTATAGACTAGACTATAGACTAGACTATAGACTAGACTATAGACTAGACTATAGACTAGACTATAGACTAGACTATAGACTAGACTATAGACTAGACTATAGACTAGACTATAGACTAGACTATAGACTAGACTATAGACTAGACTATAGACTAGACTATAGACTAGACTATAGACTAGACTATAGACTAGATTGACTATATACTAAATTGACTATATACTATACTATATAGTCTAGAATAGGTTATAGAGATCTCCGAACGCTGGCTTAGTCTCCAAATTGCCATTTTGATTAAGATTCTAAAACTCCTCAGAAATATCAAAGAACTATTTGTGGAATTGTACCGTATTGAACACAAAAAATAATTGATGCTACTTGTATATCTAACTTTTTATTAGAAGAACTACGCTTGATTAATATTAATCAGCTAAATAACCGAAGTGGGTGGGAATCACGAAATCAATCAAAATTGTTTTTTCTTTGAATTGCTAAATGGGTTTCAAATAAATTAGTTTAGAAAGGAAAGCCTCTACAATAAAATGACGTATAGCAACTATCGATTTTTATATCCTATTTAAAATAACACTAAATTTGCAAAATGCACATTTTAATCAATGGAAGTTTTTTTGCACTTAAAAATAACAAAAAATAAACAAACATTTGAAATCAATGTTTATATTTCAGCAAGATGATATTTTAAAAATATCTACACACAAAACATAAATATCTATTTTTTATAATAAATGTACAAAATTTAACTTTATTAACTATTATTCATAAAAAAATTTACCTACAACTATTACGGCATAAAATATATGAAATTCTAATATGTTTCCCAAACAACTTAATTTCATGGCGTTCGTAAAAGTCACCACCGACAACGACTCCATCACCACCACCGCATAAAATTTGTAAATAAAATTAAACAAACTATTAATTTGACATTTTAACCAATAACAAAAACAACATTATTTATTTATTTAAATAGGTGTTAAATATCCATTAAAAAAAACAACAACAAAAACAAATGTCTTGAGTTTAAACTTTAAAATACGCAAACCACACACACATCAAAACAATAGCAAATGCTGAATAAGTAAATTTTGAACGCTAAACACAAACACGGTCTAAATCACATAAAAATCGTTTAAGAAACAAACAAAAAATATAAAGCAGACAGTTTATTACAAAAGTATTCATATGCATGAGGTTTTTCATAATGGGAAGTACACGTCTATATTAAATCTTAGTTTTTATAATGGGGTCTAATGTTAAAATAAGATAATAAGCTTCAACAAGCGTTAGTCTATAGTCTAGTCTATAGTATAGTCTATAGTCTAGTCTATAGTCTAGTCTATAGTATAGCCTATAGTATAGTCTATAGTCTAGTCTATAGTCTAGTCTATAGTCTAATCTATAGTCTAGTCTATAGTCTAGTCTATAGTCTACTCTATAGTCTAGTCTATAGTCTAGTCTATAGTCTAGTCTATAGTCTAGTCTATAGTCTAGTCTATAGTCTAGTCTATAGTTTAGTCTATAGTCTAGTCTATAGTCTAGTCTATAGTCTAGTCTATAGTCTAGACTATAGTCTAGTCTATAGTCTAGTCTATAGTCTAGTCTATAGTCTAGTCTATAGTCTAGTCTATAGTCTAGTCTATAGTCTAGTCTATAGTCTAGTCTATAGTCTAGTCTATAGTCTAGTCTATAGTCTAGTCTATAGTCTAGTCTATAGTCTAGTCTATAGTCTAGTCTATAGTCTAGTCTATAGTCTAGTCTATAGTCTAGTCTATAGTCTAGTCTATAGTCCAGTTTATAGTATAATAAGAAATTACATCCAGGATATAATGAACAATGTATTGAGCATTGAACTAATTGATCTGTAGGGTCAAAGGTCAACATTAGATAAAAGTTTTTGCAAATAACACAGGCCAACAAAATTTGAAAAAAAAAATTAAAACCTAGATACCAAATATGGCCAAATTCGCGAATTTTTCAAACTTTATGACGCGATATCTGGAAAACCTGATCTGAATTGAGGTCAGATTCGGATTCAGGTCGGCTCAATCCTTTATAATAGTGTACTTTGGTCTCAGGGTTAAAAATGTTTTGGCCTGTGTAATCTAAGTGGCCAGTCGAGTTTAAGTTTTAAAATTGAGTTTTAAAATTGAGTCTCTTTTAGTGTGATGAATTTTAAAACGGATACAAAAATTATTTTTATCCGATTTTAAAGGCAAATAAATAATTTCAATTATGAACCGATCCAGGGTTTAGTTGGTATTATAATATCTATTTATATTAAGGTTATACGAGATATGTTTGGTGCTGTTGCTGAGACAACAGATTCTCCGCAGGAGAGTGACTGTAGGACTAAGTGTTGGAAATGAGTTGATGTATGGGCTGGCCTCACAAGTATACCTAGAGTGAGTGTGTCGAATGAATGCGAAGTGTTGTGGGTTGAATGGTGATGGATGGAAGGTATCTTATACAAGTGATACCTTCCTTATCCAGGTATCTTCAGGGTTTACTCAGTTCATACCAAATTTTCCAGAGAATGTTCTCTGTGCCGACTCAACAGAAGCAATTAGGTAGCTCGAGTACATAAACAAAGTGCTTGTACATGAACCGGTAAAACCATGTGCAAAAATTGTAACCGGCGTGTAAGAAGCACATCTAATCAGCTCCATGATATAGAGCCAACACTTCAGGTGTTCACGTAAAGCACTTCGACATCTTGTCTATGGATTCAATCGTGTACATCTGATGTTTTTATATAACCGCCCAATATGTCCAGTATACACCTATGACTTGACCTATATCCGCCATTAGTTAATTCGCCTAGCGTTAAGAGTCCCTCGGCTAAGAGCAAAACCTCATATCCTACCAAATGCGTTTCGATTGGGGGGACATCCGGTGATATTAGATATATGGTCGTCACCGTGTCCATAGCTTCAATTATACCCAAACAACTCCCTGCAGGTGTGTTATATTAAACATTTGTCCAAAGAAGTACACTTGTCCAGGAAGCAGGGTTGAATGAACTCAAGAATTTTAATTTTTAAAAAGGAAGATTTCGAAAATTTTCTTATACATTTTTAGATTATGCAATCATTTTCTAGAGTAGATTAATTTTTTTAACGGACTGTACTTTTGAACAACAATAAAAACCACATACATATTTACAACAAAAATGACACATAAAATAAAAGTGAGGTGGCCCAACAGACAGGCGGCACTCGCTTGCTACAAGAGTTTGTACAAACATCTCTACAGTCAGTATCTTTTAATTTATTTCTGTTTTTTAAATGAAATCAAAAAGTGTTTTTAACAACATTTACCTGGAGATGTTAAAACTGCAAAAAAAAACCAAGTGAAAAATAAAATAATGTACAATTTAATTATACATTTTATTTAATTTGAACTTGACATTCAAACGCATTTGAACACGAGCCGCTTGATGAAAGCTGGATTGCTGTGATGATGATGATGATGATGTCTGGTTTTGTTTTGTCATTTATTTTATTTTATGAGTTTTTTTACGTACATATGTATGTATGCTACACTTGTTGTAATTGAAACATCAGCCAGTAATAATATTTCTACAGAAATAAATACATAATTCATATAATCGTGCGTAATGTACGTATGTAATGATAAATATAATTTAAATTAATAATTTTTTCGAGGTTTTTTTTAGCTTAACCGTGACATTAGTTGTATGATTTGTTGATTGATAAGAAATTTGCTATATTGTACCTAATTTTTTTTTTTTTTTTGTTTTTTTTTCTAATATTTTTCAGAGAGGACATGCAAAAGGTGAATGTCAAATTTCATGACAATTTTACGGTGTCATATCAGCATAAAAAAATCTTAGAATTTGTTCCTGAACTGAGTATAGATAAGAATACACAAATTATAACACCTAATATACCTCTATTGGTAAGTAAATAAGATAAATATTTTGCAAATAGTATTAACAAATTCTGGAATAACGTACGCACTTTGACAGTTAACAGCTGTCAAACTCTTCTTGCTCCGATTCCTCACTAAACTGTTAGACCTTTAGAAGTAGGATTAGTTATTTAATAGTTTTACTATATATTAAGAGTTATGTTAATTATACTTTAGTTAGAAAATTATGGTCCAAATGGTCCATCATGGATTCTGAAAAGATTTTAACATCTAAAATGCTATGTAAAGATGATTTTTCCACGATGTTTCAATTCTCTTAAATAGTAACAGTTTCTTAATTTAAATTTCTTTTGTCCTTCCTGAACAGGCCAGATAATATGTAGCAGCTAATCTACGAACCGTATTTCGTCTTGATTTATCTCCAAATCCAGCTACCAATTCAAAACAGTCATAAATTACAAATATCCGAGTCTCCGAGGACTCCTGATTCTTAAAAAATCTAAAGTCCATTTTGTAGTTTCTACAAATCAGTGATGTTACAAATCTTCATTTTTTGTAAATACCACTTGCAAACTGTCAGTTTCTTCTGCATTCCTCATGGAGTCCAGAATCTTTAACGCATTTTAGAGTAGGTCATCTAGTTCTCCCAATGACCTTATTTCGGAGGTCCTTTAGATGTTAGAATTCATATTCACACCTATAGAGCGGCTTGTGAATATTGCTGCCAACCATTTACTCTAGTGAGTAAATTTCCAGTACCTTAATATATAAAGGAATTCTGATCCATAGCGAATCTTAAACCTCCTTTAAAGTTGTTACAAATCAGTGATGTTTCAACTTCTATTGTTTGTAAGAAGAGTCCTTTTCTGATTAATACACTGTTAGAATCTTCTGGGTTCTTTTTTGAGACCAGAATTGGTGATGCACTTTAGAATTGATCATCTAGTTCTCTCAAAGACCATGCCTAAACAGCGGCTTGATAATATTGCCGGCAACCATTTACTCTAGGGAGTAAATTTCGAGTACCTCAATATTTACAGGAACTTGATTCATAGCCAATCTAAGAACTCTTTTAAAGTGTTTACAAATCCCTGCTGTTTCCACTTAAATTGTTTGTAACAAGAGTCCTATTCTGATTGGTAAATACTAGTTAAGTTTCTGTTTAATTAAACTGTGGTATCTATACTGCCAGCATCTTCTGGGTTCTTTCCCGAGATCGGAATCTTTGACGTATTTTAAAGTTCTCTCAATTGAAGAACCCTTTAGATGTTAGCATTCACATTCATACCTAGACAGTGGCTTGACAATATTGCCTTCAACTATTAACTCAAGCGAGTAAATTTCCGGCACCTCAATATTTTAAGACCTCTGATCCATAGCGAATCTAAAATCCCTTTTAAAGTAGATGCAAATGATTTATGTTTCAACTTCCATTGTTTGTATGAAGATTCCAATGCTTCTACATTCTTCCCCGAGACCAGAATAATTGACGCATTTAAGGGTTGGTAATCCTTGTCTATAACTTCTGAGTCTCACATGCGGCGAACGACGAAGAATCCTTTTGGAATTTCTAAGCAGAAAAGTTCCTCGAATGATCAATGGCAACATAATACGACTCAACGGAAAATGGCCAATATGTATGTGTAGAAATTGTATTAAATGGGGAGCCGTGCTAGCTCCCATATAAGGTTCTCATTAGAAAATCACTTTTACTTTCATAACTGGCAAAATCTATCTACCAAATTTCTTAACGATAGGTCCGTTACTGACTCTGCGCCGCATATAACACTTCTTAGAGAAAATTCATTCATAATATAAAATTCAAAATAAATAAATTGTTTTAAAAGGCTCCATAGTTCACCCAAGCCCTATTTTAAGACCCTATAACTTTCTTTTAAATTTCACCATTTTTTTTAAAAATTTATAATATTTTTTTATATTTCCCCTTTACAGACTCTCACCAGTTTAAGTCCAAAATTAGGTTATGTACTCTCAAAAACAATATCTGTCATACTAACAGCAGCAAAATTTAAACCCTTCATAAATATAACAGCGGATCAGCTGGTGTTTGGTTACGATGATCCGCTAGTATCGCTGGCGCATAAATTTTATCCAAAACATTTAAGGCCGGGTGAAAGAATGGGTTTATTATTGGCGGTAAGTCAAAGTTTTAGAAAAACGAAAACAGAACTATAATAATGAATAAAATTTCCCAATAGCGTAATGGCACCTTATCGGAAGTATCTACTATTAAAACGGGTCACAATGATATGAATGAATTTGGTTATATAGATCGTTTAAATGGTTTGGATCATTTGCCACACTGGCAGCAGCCGCCATGTACTAGTATAACCGGTTCGGAGGGTTCATTTTTTCCACCACGTGATATAACAAAATCAGATATGTTGTATGTGTACGATAAGGATTTGTGTCGAGTCATACCGTTGCAATATCAAAAGGGTGTAACCAAAGATGGTGAGTTTTTGTGTGAGAACAAAATTTTAACGATTTTTTGAAAATTTCTTTATATGTTATAAAAAGGTATTGATGCTGATTTGTATAAATTACCGGAGACGTCTTACGGTGATGCTGAACATCATCCGGAAAATCAATGTTTTGATACTAGAGATTATGATGCTGTTAAGGGTTTACAAAACATAAGTCCTTGTCAGTATGGAGCGCCAGTGTATTTATCAAATCCCCATTTTTATCAAGCCGATAGCAGTTTATTGGAATCGGTAGAGGGTTTAAAACCCAATAGTTCAGAACATGAAACCTATTTTAAAGTACAACCGGTAGGTTAAAAGTAAAATATGTTAAATACTTGTATTTACTTTGATATTTTTTGAACAGAAACTCGGGGTACCTTTGGAGGGCAAAGTGCGCATACAATTGAATCTGAAAGTTACTCAAGCACGTGATGTTTATCCGGTGAAAAACTTTCGCAGCTTTATATTTCCGGTCATGTGGCTAGAAGAGGGCATTTCTGATCTAACACCCGCCATCAGAAGATGGATTTATGTGGCCACTGTATTTGCTCCCACCATAATACCTATTGCTTCCTACTTTATGATAGTGGGCGGAGCTTTTGCCATAGTCTTTATATTCCTGCGTGCCTATCAAAATTATGTATTTGCTCGTGATCCCACTCTAGAAATACTCGAAATGGGCAGACGCTCTCTAAGGCGTGGCAGCAGTTTTATTGCTCATCATCAACACAAGTTTATGCATCGCGAGTCATATACTTTACTCAAGGCAATGCCCACCTCCTGTGTGGACGATCGGGAAGATGTTGTGCCTATAATGAATACAAACAACGATTCGTCATAGTATTTGTAAATATATAGTTAACTTTTAACTTTAAGCCAAGCATTTTAGGTTAGATTTTTAAACAAAAAATTTTTCCCTAGCTAGTTAAGTGCAATTTTTGTTAGACGAATATATAAGATGGGAAATAGAAGCAGTAATAGCAGAAAATCCTGTGGCAACATTAAAGGTTGCACCAACAAAAAAGAGACAACAACAAATTGTGATTTAATTTTAATTGAATGTTTGAATGAAGAACAAATATGAATGTTATAGTTAGTTTGTATGTGTTTTTTTTAAAGAATTAATTTATAAATTTTCATATAATTTTCTTTAATGATTTTAAGTTTTTTTTTTCTTTACTCATGAAATTAGTTTAGTAACAAAACTTATTTTGAATTTCATTCCATTTTTTTATACCAAAAATATAAAAATCATTACGTAAACTAAACAATTATTTCGAGTTAACTCATTTTGCAAATATATAGTTATAGTTTTTGTTTAAAGAAAATTTCGTAACAAAACCAAATCTTATATTTAAATGCCATTCATTTTAACTCTAATTCTATTAACATTATTTTAGTTATTTATTGTTTCCCCCAATAGAAGTTTACTTTTGCACTATTAACCATTTTGGACTGGGTAATCGTACAAAAATTACAATTAAAGCGTCAGGCTACAAACGACAAGTTATCAGAATTTATCTAACTATAAAATAAAGTCCAATATTTTCTTAAAATCCCTGATCAGATGATCAAAAATGTACCAGATCGTCCGAACATCCATCAAAAACAAGCAAGATTTAAATTTTTCCAAATATGGACTATATGGAAGTGATCTTCTCAGAAGATCAAAATGGTTTGATATTCAAAAAAGGAACCAGAACTTTCAACCAGTAAGATAAATTATATCAAAGGGGGTGATCAGAAATGTTTCGTATTAAAAATGGGCCAAACGGTTCAACCAGAAAGATAAATTAAAATAAAAGGGCTGTCCGTCCTTCTGTTTAAAAGACAGGCAAACTTGGAATATTTTCAACAACGGACAATGAGCAAGGAGAGGATCTACTATGATAAGAGGATCATCCTCAGAGTTTAATTTGGAAATCGATCATATTGTTCAACCAGAAAGGGACTGTGCGTCCGTTAATATTAGAACATTTCAAAAACTATACAATAGACAAAGAGCTGATCTTCTATTATGATCAATAATGTTTGGTATTGAAATTGGATCAAACCGTTCAAGCAGAAAGATATAATAAAGCAAAGGATCTGTCCGTCTTTCGTTAAAAAAACAAGCAAAAATTGGAATATTTCTGAATAAAGACCATGGCCAAGGAATGAAACAAATCGTTCAAGCTGAAAGATAAATAAGAGCAAAGGGACTGTATGTATGTCCGTCATTCAAATTATGATAAAATTGGAATATTTCCAAAAATGGATCTTATCCATGGATGATGTCTTCAGATGATGTGAAATTTTGGGTATTGAAAATGGGCTATATGGTTCATCCAGAAAGATAAATTAGAATAAAATTTCTGTCCGTCCGTCTTAAAATGTTTTTAATTTTACCAAAAATACACTTTGGACCAATAGAGCTTGAAACCATAAAAATTTTGAACCAAAATTTATTATAAAAAAATGTCCGTCCATCCAAAAATAAACAAAAAATCTGAATGAGAAGGGAAAATAGCCAGAAAGCTATAATATGGAATGAATAATCCCTAATCATGTTTAGTCTAAATTGACTTAAGATGGACCAAATATGATAAGGAGAGAAACTTTTTAGACATTTCTGAAAATGAGCGAAGTCGTTCAATCGGAAAGATAGATAATAATATAGGGGTCCGTTTAAAACAACAGTCAAAATTGGAATATGTCCATAAACTGGACCATGGTCAAACCTTCCGCAAAGTTTGGTATTAAAAATGAGCGTTCAAACTGAAAGATAAATAGAAGCACAGGGGCTGTTCTTCCGTCATCAAAATTATGATAAAATAGGAATGTTTCCAAAATGGATATTATCCATGGATGATGTCTTCAGATGATGTGAAACTTTGGGTATTGAAAATGGACCAAAACCAAACAGAAAGATAAATTAGAACAAAATTTCAGTCCGTCCGTCTTTAATTTTTCCAAAAATACAATATGGACCATATACTTTGAAACGATAAAAATTTTGAACCAAAATATAAATATATAAACAAAAAATATGAATCAGAAGAGAAATTAACCGGAAAGCTATAATATGGCATGATTAGCCATTAATAATGTTTAGACAATATGACTTAAGATGGAACAAATATGTAGATTGAACTGATAAAAAATTTTGACTCAAAATCGAATAGTTTAAGCCCTTAAAAGTCGAACCAAATTGGCAATTATTGATCTTTATCAAATATTTGTCAAAATAAGCTTTAGTACTATCTTGAGAAATGTTTTTGATCCAGTTATCGGCAAAAAGCTCCTGATCATACGAACGTAATCTCAAACACACGGCGATTTTATAAAGGTTGCAGTCACTGAGAAATTCCGACCAATCGGAGTTTGGGAATTGTGCGAGAGTTTTGTTTTAAATGGAGTTTAACACTTTAGTAGCAAAAGGTGAACCATCTCTAAATACTGTTCTATAGTTCCTAATTTTTGGTACTTTTTCGATCGTAAATAGTACTTTTTCAATTATTTGAGCTATTAGTCCATAGACTTGCCAATAAATTTAACTACAGATTAGTCTATAAATTAGTCCATATAATGGTAAATAGATTAGTCCATAGACTATATATTGACCAACAGAATGGTCCATAGATTAGCTAGTCAATAGACTATTCCTATCAATAGACTAGTTCACATATATAGATCCTAAAGGATACATTCTACATACCTGACTTCATCTTCGCCTTTCTCCACACATGAACAAACAGTACCAGCCAGAGCGCTCTTTTAACACTCTCAGCCGATAACTGATTTAAGCCCACATAGACTTGGAATCGTTTCCAAATAAAAGTTTGCTAGTTTAATTTAAAAAAGAACTAAATTTTTAGCCTCACGCCTTAATTGAAAAACTAAAAACAAACCTCATTTTTTATAAAACCAAATCCCTTCCTATAATAAAATACATATTTGAATTTCCTTTTTATATAAAAAAACGAAATTTTGTTTATCCACTACCAACCAACCTCTTTAGTTTAAGAAATAATTCACTATATTATTTTGTATTATTCATATTTTAATTATAATTTCTTCTTAAGAACTGGGAGTTTTAGGTCTATTTTATACTTTTATATTTAAACAAAATAATAATTTAAGTTATTTTATAAATATATAATCCCTACTTTTAAACATATTAATTCACTAGTCATTTTTAATTTGCTAATAAAAATGAGAGTATATTTTATTATAAGTTTTAGTTTAAAACAAAAAAAAAAAAATTATATAAATTTAAGGTTTGTCAGTCAAATTAAAAAAAAATAACTTATTCTTAGCCATTAGTAAAGTAATTTGTATATACTATTTTTTTTATAAATATTTATAATTTTATGAAATTAGCAAATAGTTTTTTTTATATTTAAAAAATATTTTTTATTTATTTGCTGGCATTCCCCTTATCCTCGAAATCCGTCCTTCCCCCATACCACTCTCTGTTTATATCTTATTTGTACATTTTTAAAAATATTTAGTCATTTTTAGGCCTTTAACATTTATTATTCAATTGTTAATATTTTCTTTATTAAATTCTAAGTTATCGAGATGTGTATTTTCGGTGTATTTTTTTATATAATGAATTAAAAACTATTTTCTATATAGAATTTTAGAAACTTTTTTTAAAAATAAATCTAGTTATATATAAAAATGAATGTATGATTTTGTTTAATTGCTTGTAGCTTATAGGAGCAGTAAGTTCCTTTATATGTGTATGTGAAGAACAATAGGTAAAATCAAGTAGGCGTGGTATCGCCCCTATGATACTTTAATATAGTCCTCAAGTGTTGTAGTGATAGTGGGCGTGCCACCAACCATATGAAGTAAATATACAAATTTATATATCTGACAAACTGTAACATCTAGAATAGGAGGAAGGTTTGAAAAATTGGAATTAGATTTTAGGTGAAGATATTTCGAAGAAGAAACAAGTAAGAAATTATAGTCGGATGAGGCCGACCATATAATACCCTACACCTGTTACAAAAATGAAATGTGATTTTGTTTTCATAATAAAGCATTGTAGTTGAATTGTACCTTGCCTCAGATATACTTGAGCCATTTATTGTTGAATAAAATTGTGGACATTTAAGTCAAATTTTGAAGGGGGCTTTGTATAGGTGTTATGGTCAAATGAGACCCTATAATTATAAAATTCTTGAGAGTCATCAAGGCTAGTATAGCAATTGGTTTTGCAGCTTTTTATCGAGATACGATTATATTAAACATAATTATGAATTTAAAAGCCCTATTCGTCGGGTTGGGGGCTAGGTGAATTTCATTGAATTATCATCAAAATTGCGACCTGTAGTTTGATTACAACGTTTACAAGCCCTATTCAGGGGTTCAGTTGTATGGGGGCTAGGTGAAATAATGGACCGATCTTAACCATTTTCAATAGGCTTCGTCCCAGGGAGAATAGAAGATAATGTACCAAATTTCATTGAATTATCTTCAAAATTGCGACCTGTAATTTGATTACAAGGTTTACATGGACGGACAGACGGACGGACATAGCTAAATCGACTCAGAAAATGATTCTAAGCCGATTGGTATACTTTAAGGTGGGTATAGGGCCAATATTATTGTGCGTATACTTTAAGGTGGGTATACAAACATCAGCACAAACCCAATATACCCTCCCCACTAAAGTGTTGTAGGGTATAAAAAGATATGCCAGATGTTAAGCATTTAATTAAAAGTTAAAATAATCGACTTTCAAAAAGGGCCAAAAATGGCGTTTTTCAAGCGTTTTTCAAACTTTAGGACACGATATCTCCCAGATGTGATGGCCAGATTCGGTTTCAGCGTGACTCAATCCTTCAGAAAAGTATGCTTGGTCTCTGGGTTAAAAATTTGTCGAACTGTGTTATGAATACCAAAACATCTATCCAAATTCGATGCATATTCAAAAGCCGTAACGTAGTATGAATCTAGGTCTTCGCTATCGTACAAGTTTGCTCATTGGTATAGAAGCGTCCGGCATTCTCTGACAAGTTTAGATGTGGTGAAAACACCGATCAGGGGTTTAATAGCTGTCTGGTTATCAGTAATGTCGAATGTCCATGCCGGATATTCTATAGAACCGAAGACAACTTAAAGCTCCTTTTATAGCAGATACTGATTTCAATTCCGTACTCATCCATGTTAATGCCCCAACCTAATTGTAGCCATCTTAGTATATAAAAGAAAGGTTTCGGCGTACAATAGGCAAAATTCGAGAAGTGATTAGGGAGAACACGTATGATCCTAGGATAACCCCTAAAACAACTAACACTTTGATAGTCGTAGTTCTTATTGCTTCCATTATGAGGAATGCAATATATCTCATTACAGTTTCGAGTGGAGCTCGGTTGTGTTTTAACTCATAAAAGGAAATAGTAAAATACCTATAACCTATATGGCAAACCTTTATATGTAATAAGGTCTTTATGGATCCACCCTTTCGGCTTTTATTACACGATTTTCTCATTTTCCAAAAATCTCATCATTCAGAGTGATCTTATGGGGGTTTTGGGGAGGGTATTATGCGTATATGCTAAAGTTTGTAACACCCAAAAATATTGGTTCTATATTCAACTTAAAGTATACCAATCGGCTCAGAATCACTCTCCGAGTCGATAATGCTAGTTCAGTCTGTCCGTCCGCCTGTCTGTCTGTCCGCCTGTGTGTCCGGACATGGATATGTCTATGAAAACCTTGTGCACACTCTAAAGGTCGCAATTTTTAAGATAAAGGCACGTACGCCTCTTTTGGTCCAAGCACCAAGAAGGCTATTGAAAATGTGTGAAATCGGTTCATTATTTCACCTAGCCCCCGTAAAGCCGGATACGCCGAATAGACTTCATAATTTGTTAAATGTTCTAGTCTAGGGTATCATATGGTCGTTCACGCCCGACTATACTTAGTTTCCTACTTGTTATACCCTACACCACTTTAGTGGGGAGGGAATATTGGATTTGTGCTGATGTTTGTAACATACAATAATATTCGTCCTATACCCCAAGTATACCAATCGGCTTAGAATCGTTTTCTGAGTCGATTAAGCTATGTCCGTCTGTCCGTCCGTCCGTCTGGCTGGCTGTCCATGTAAACCTTGTGCGCAAGGTACAGATCGCAGTTTTCAAGATAATTGGATGAAATTTTTTTTCGGCCCAAGAACGCCTATTGAAAATGGTTAAAATCGGTTCATTATTTCACCTAGCCCCCATACAACAGAACCCCCCGAAAAGGGCTTCTGAGCTCATAATTATGTTAAATATACCTGTAAATTGATAAAAAGAGGCACAACTAAGTTTTATACAAGCCTTGATGACCTTGCCAAATTTCATAGAGATCGGGCCTCATTTGACCCTAGCTTCCATACAAAGTCCCCTTCAGAAAATTATTTGAATGTCCAAAATTAACTTATAAACACAAATATCGCGATGAAATTCAGCACAATAAAATATTATGTAAATATAAATATATTTACAAAATTTTATCGGGCTTGGTCCATATTTGCCCCTAGCCCCCCTATAAAGCCTCTTTCAGAAAATTACTTTTCCATCCATTAATTGTTTAAATGTATCGGAACAAGGTAATAGAAGATAAATGCTTTATAATGAAAAATAAATCACATTTAATATTCATAACTGGTGTAGGGTATCATATGGTCGGTCACGCCCGACTATACTTTCTTACTTGTTTTTAAATATCTTAAGTAAACCACGATAACTATATCGTATCTTCGCAAAAACGGTAATAATTGTATAGTAAATTTATTATAAATTTTTACTATCATTATTTTTTATACTACTTTACAAATAATTCCCTTATACAATAAAGTTAAATGTACAATCTTTTGTGAGGATTTTTTTAGTAAAACTACGCCTTAAAGGTTTTAAATTTTCCAAATGTCAGTAGCAGAAATTAATATTGTTTATTTTATAAAAAAAACTATTTATTAACTAAAAGAAACGGAAAATTATTATGCCAACAGAATCAGAAACTACTATATTCAAAAGGAAATTTATTACTAACCATATATTCAAAAAAATCAAAATTTATGGCTCCATTAAAAAATATGTACTTCAATACTTCCTTCCTTTCTTCCTTAAAACACCAAGTGTTGGCTAACATCAAAAAAAGGACGTCCATCAAAGCAAATTACAATTTTTCAGTTTCTTTTCTTAAGATTTTTAGGGTCTTAATCATAATAATTTATCACAGCTTTATTAAACAAATTTTCATATAAAATTTGTTCTATAAACCTTTAATAAATTATTATGAATATGACCCTTTAACATAAAATTTCACAATTGTTTGTTTTAAGGACACTTAACATTAATCTATTACAATTGTTTTTTAAAGAAACTAAACTGATTTATCTGAATATAAAAAATGAAAATGTTGAAAGAAAAGGAACAATATTTGTATCCACATGAGGCCATTTTTTTAAAGAGAAAAGTAGTTGTTGTCTTGGTCACTATAAAGGATTTTTTTTTTTTTGGTTTTTCTCTAGGCTTTTTTGATGTGTAAATCAAATAGCTTTTATGTCCATCTAATGCTTGCGACATTTACTTAATTTTTTAAATCAAAGGAAATGAAAGGTCCTTTAGAAGAAAACCACTAAAGTATTTAATTTAACTATTTGACAAAAAATCCAAAGAACTTATTAAGTTTGTTAAGAGAACAGTTATTCCTCAATATCTTCTCTTCTCTCTATATAATCCTCCATTTCCATTTCTAACATTCTTATTAACTCACATAAAAACATCAAATATCTATAAAAAAACTAATAATATCTTTAAATGAAAATATTCCCATAAACCAACTTATTTACGACACCAATAAAAGGCCATTAGAACAATTTAATAAGAATAAAATAATCGTAAAATCATACTTTTCTCCCATTGTTTAGTCTTCCTTTCAAACCACGCCATGTTTGATTCCATATCATATACTGTTGTTCTCTCGTTCTACTAAATATTAATCGCTTATTACCAACACAATCATTCAAATATTATATACCCAACAGTGTAGGGTGATTATCCCCAATAAACTTTAAAAATATTCGACAATTTATTGCTAGACTTGACCATAGTCCAGACTATATAACTTATAGTCTATGGACTATAGTCCAGACTATAGACTACAATCCAGGCTATAGACTATAGTCAAGACTAAAGACTATAATTCAGACTATAGACTATAGTCCAGGCTATGGACTAATCCAGACTATAGACTACACATTAAGCTATAGACTATAGTCCAGACTATAGAATATATTCCTGACTATAGACTATAGTCCAGACTATACCATAGTCCAGACTATACCATAGTCCAGACTATAGACTATAGTCCAGACTAAAGACTATAGTCTAGACTAAAGACTATAGTTTAGACTATAGTCCAGACTAAAGACTATAGTTTAGACTATAGTCCAGACTAAAGACTATAGTCCAGACTATAGACCATACTATAGTTCAGAATAGACCAGACTAGTCCAAAATATAGACCATAGTCCAGACTATAGACTTTAGTCCACACTATAGACTATAGTCCACACTATAGACTATAGTCCAGACTATAGACTACA